CGGGCAGCGTGCTGGATGGAAAGCTGAAGAACTTGGCCAGGTGGCATCTCTGAGAAGAGGGGAATGTTTCACATCTCAAGGCTTAATTGTCTAACATTGAGCTGTGGGAACTGGCATCAGATTCAGAAATGCTTTTGGAAGTCATGCACTTAGGTCGTACTGTCGGAGCTAGCGAGTTGCTCACTTCTTCAAAGAAGAGTAGATGAGAGTTTCCCTCTTTTGTAAAACTCCTTACTGTTTAGAATCAAAAAGAAAGAGGGGATATTATTTCAATTCCTTCTTTATTTCAGGAGTTGACCCCCTACCTCCTAACAGTGTCCCTTAGTTTTTAGATTATGGGGCTACAGTCTTCCTATAGCCTGTTGGAGCTTAATTGTTTCATAGTACAAGACTTGTGGGAGTAAAGAAAGGTCATGCAAGAGGAAAGTTGTTTGTACACAGAAAGAGAGGAGTCTTTAGATTGTAACGTCTGCTACGTGGAAGTTTTCTGTGATTTCCGCTAGCTGATCACTAGGTAAATGGTTAGACTTCAAGACTAGGGAATAGAATCAGGATCTCCAGAGAATTTACATGTTTTCGATGCAACTTGCTAGCATGAGGGGAAAAAAAAAGCATTAAAGTATCTTCCTTCCTCTAAACAAATGATTCTTCTGAAGCCCTCTCGGTTTTGTGTATTTGTGTGTATTTTACAGGCATTACTGGGCCTTTACAAGGTTTCAGATTGAGAAAAGAAGCAGTGCTTGAGTTTACTTATGTTAATATCACAAACAGGCAAAGTCGTAGTATCACAAATACACAGTCTCAAATTATACGCACTGATTTAACATGTAACTGAACTGAGAATTGGTTTCCAGAATTGAAAAGCTTGACTTCTTGAGCACTTGCCGGATGCAGATGTGGGAGAGAGATGAAAATTATTAAATTGAAAAATTTTCTTTAAAACTCAGCTAAGGTAGTAATTTTCCATGTCCTATTTTCTCATGTGGAATTATGTTAATATAGTAACATTCTGAACAAAACTTATTTTGTTATTTCCTCCTTGCCATTTCCTAAGTCTCATTTTAAATGCAGTGTAGAAATTAACCTTTTTAATTTCCTTTTTAGATATCTGTAAGTTTTGAACAGTTTTTTTTCATGTCCTACATTCATTATCTAAAGAATAATGGTTATGCCTTACTTTGTTAAAAGGAGAGGGGAAAAAGTGTGAAGGTTGTGAAAAATATGCAAAAAGGTCCATAGGTGTTACAGTTAAAAATAGTCATACGCTGCTGTTGTTTCAAAACATATGTTGTCAGCTCTGATAGATATTTTTAGTCCAGTTTTCCATAAGCCTTGTTTGTGAAATAGGTTACTTGATGTTCATGCAACAGTCTCCTGAATGAAAATAAAAAAAAGTAGATATTGATGTGGAGATGTGATGACATTACATGGTTTGCCTTGTGCCTTCCAAAAATTCTGTTAGTTATTGCCACCTATGAAGGCTGCTGTTTTAATTCACACTCTCTTTTGAGTTTCTTTTGTGGGTTGCATGCTTTTATGAGTATCTTTAAGTGAGGGATTGAAGATTCCCTAATTAAAGAAAAAGGAGTATTTTTCTTGGCGTATTGCTGTGCTTGTTCTTTTCAGTGTAATCTCCAAACCTTCTTAATAAAACTCAGATGTCTATACTCATTTCTATTGACTGTTAGTATTTTTTTTTCCTGTACCAGATTTTATTTGCCATGTGAAGTAAATTTATTCTGTTTTTACTGTAGTGGAATAGCAGTTGTTACACAGGGAGACAAAAATAAATTTACTCTCATAGAGCAGAGAAAAAACAACGTGAAGGCAGCATTAAATCAAAGGTTATTAAGGTTCTACTTCTGACTATAAAGTTAATAGTGGCCAAAGTAGTAATGAAAATTATTAAGCAGCTATTCCAGCCACGTTCCCCATAGAGTCTACTGTTTTTTTTTGGTCAACTGTCACATTTTTGAGGTAAAGACATGACTGAGTGGACGTAGGGACTAGGCTGTTGCATCCTCCAGGGGGCTGAAGCATATAGATACAACAGTGAGCTTATATTGCTGCTGGTTCATGGTTAAAGAGCGGATGTTATTCTGTAAGACTGAGGTTTTATCAAACAAACAAACAAAAAAAAGGCTGAGAATGTGTCAGCTTACTTAAAGTAAACTGAGATATCATGTAAAATATTCAACCTTGAAAATACAGTGGAAATATCAGGTATATTTCTGTTTGTGAGTCAAAAAATCCTGACTTGCATATAGTATTGATTATTGTTTGTGGTGATCTTGTTGGCCATAACCTTGCTCTGCTGCATTATGGTGCATTTCAGAGCAGATGCCCCTGAAGAGAGTTTAACATCCTTACCTGCCTCAACTACCCTGTGTGGCACGACGCTAGCGATGAGCAGTGGTCAACTCAGTTTCTGTCATACGTCTGTCCTTTCAAGACTCTGTGCAGATATGCCTTCCTGAACTAATAAAATTAAAAGCTACTTGGCATCAACACTTATACTATTATTTCTTTCTCTTTTTGTATATTTATGTTTTGTTTCTAAGAAACATTCTCTTTTCCTCCTAGTGATTTAGCATTTAACACGCTCTCCCTATGTTTACAAGGCACGAGTTGGCCTTAAATTTGAGAAATCAAGTATTGGCAGCTTTCTGGCAGTGTAGCTGAAAGAGGTTGGACACAAGCTTTATAAAAGCTTGCAGCTGCACAGGGGAGATCAGTAAGGAGAAGAGCCTTTATGCCTTTTAGGAGTTTTTGTACTTCTTGAGCTTTTCCATAGTTTCATTGACTTACACCTGAGTTAGGGCTTGGGTGTTTAGCTTTGTCTGTGCTATAGACTAAGGATATGATAAGATTCATGTTGTCATAATTTGTCTGGTGTCCGAGGTAGATGCTCATGTATTGAGAAGCTCAGTTTTCTAATAAGTTGCATTTGGGACTGAGGAAAGTCATTAGCCAGAAGTATCTGGAGAGTAAAACCAGCTTCCTAATGTGTGTCACTACACTGAGTTTCTCGTCTTGGTCACTTAACTGTGAAAATAACAGTGGAAAATAACAGTGTTTCTGTGGAAAGAAACAAAAGATCATGGAGAAGATGGTGTCACCAGAAAAAAAAAAGAGCAGTGAATAAAACTAACGTACGTTTAATGAGTTACTGCTTGACAGCTTTTAGATTGGCTAAATAAACAGGTACAGCCTGTTTCAATCAATTTTTTCAAATCAAATGTCTTATCTTTACAAGTGATATATTGAGATTTCAGTTGTCAAATTTTACATTTTAAGGTGTCCTAAGTTTTCTTAAGGTACCTACATGCCCATATGTACAAGTGGAAGCATGCGGCCACATAGAATCATAAAAATGTAATAAATTGCACTGAGCAACTTTTTAGAAAGAATCTCAGTCTAATTAGAGACATGAAAAGCAAAGAAAGGTCTAATTAGAGCTGTTTTGCCAGATGCACACACTGTCTCTTTTGGTTTTGCTTTATGGAGTTGTGTAATTTAGCGACATAGTACAATACACAGAGCTATGCACAGCAGTTTGCACTGGGCTGTGAAAGATGCAAACGTGTTTTAGATTACTGTGTACACACCGGTGCGTGTGCAATATGCAGCAGAGGACAGACGTATAAACAGTTTGGAAAGACAAATGGGGAGAAACAGTTCATTTTGGAGAGATAATGAAATTCTGATTAAAACCGAAACGCTGAGTGGAGTCAGGCTGAAATTCTCCTTTTGTTTAGCACGATTTGGGTTGTCAGTGAACTTGGGCATGGTTACTGCGAGCACCATCTTCTGGGATGCAGATTCTGTGCTGCAGCTCCTCTTGTAATGCAGAGTAGTGGTGGGGTGAGGGTGTGCAAGGGGTATCTCTGAGACACAGGGGAGAGGAGAGATGCTTTTTCCTTGTGCAAAATGGAGGGCCTGGGGTGCTTCACTTGGTTTAGTCAAATCATACGTGTTCGTGGGTTGACAAAGGAGACGAATGAAATACGTGCTCGTGGAGGAGTAAGAAAGCTGGATGTTGGCTTGCTTTGAGTTACATGGTACTGCCAAATACTCATTCTTCCCCCTTTTTTGAACCATATTGTTGTAGAGAAGATTCAGTCCAAATCTTTTACACTATTAAACTCAAGTGGAAGCTAATTATATCATGTTCAGGCTGTTGATGGGGACAGACTAATTAATGCATATAGTAAATGTGAACGTGTCGCTAAATCTGTGAATAACAAAGCTGAAATTAATCTTTTGCATTTTGTGTGCATTTGGAAAAACAGAATGAAACTTCATCTTTTCAATAATATAAATTTTTCTAGTTGTAGTAAACATTAAAGGAAAAACGATGATTCTAATTCTGTTACATTCTTACTGATTTGTTGTAAACAGGTTATGAAATCTTCCAAGAGTAGTTTATTGTAAGAGTAGAGTGTTTCTAAGGACTGTGTAATTACTGAATTTAAAGAAATTTTGTTTCTTGGAGTTAAAAAAAAAAATCTAATTGTATTGATTTGCAATTTACAAACTGTCTTATTCCCCAGCATTGACTGTAAGGAAAAAAAGAAGTTTGTTTAGTGATCATATTTTTCTGCTGAGCTCTTGCAAAGCATGGTCAGATTCATAGAAATTAATCCTGAATGAATTGGATTTCATTCTATTGTATGAGTTTCTGCTTCACTTGGAAAATAAAAATACCTGCATATTCTTTTAACTGAAATAATAGTAAGTGGTGAAATCCAGTAAAATATTGTCTCTATGCATGATTTTACATAGTGAGTACAGCATTCTTGAACTATATAATGTTTAAGCTGGAAATAAGCTAAAAAGCTTTCTCGAATATAACAAAATCAGTAGTTTTCCTGCAGGCTGCACCTTTCCTCATTATTCAGTCTTACTGGTTTCTGTGTTTTCCAGTGTTTAGCTTATATGAAACTATGGCTTCTTTAGTAATTATGTCTTTAAACACTTTTTCTTTGTGTGAATTTTAGGTACGCTATTCCTCCGGAGCATGGGAGACGTCTTGAACGACTAGCTCAAGGTAATATTTTCAGTGTTTCAGTATTTAAGGTGTTTTGAGGACAAGCCTGCGGGAGAGTGAAAAGCCTAGTCCTTGGCTTGCCAGTTGTGTTTTATTCTTTCTTAACATTGTGTCATTTTTATTTGCCTCTAGTGTGTGTGTTTGCCTCTAGTGTTTTCAAACCAGGAACACTGCTTAGCACTGGGGAGTTTTTAAGAAACAATTGTCTTTTTTAAGTATTTAATTTTGTACTGGCCCCGTTTAGTTTGGTTAAGCATATGAAAAGGAAGCTTGAAGAACAGTTGGTTCTTTTTGTTTATTAGATTCTTATTGATAGTATAGTCTCCTCTAACCCCTTTTCTTCCCTTATTAAATAGTTCTTTGTGCCCTGTAACTTTTGAATCTTCTAGACAGTTTCAGCCAAATGTGAGGGAGGTTCCTTCGTGAAGGAGCAGAAGATACTGCTGTAGGGAAGAGATTTAAGCGATTATTTATCTGTAGGAAAATAATGTCTGATCTCACATAGTAACTTGGTTTATTTTAAGTCCTGCTAAGCTCCCTTTTTCATTCCAGATTAAGAGTGCTGATTATGAATACAAGAACAATTAGATGCGTTTCTTGCTGTGGCAGCACGCATTTAGCAGCTTGCTATTAACCATATTATGTAAGAAATGCTCTTGAAAGTTGGTAACTAGATATCATATGTGAGGACTAAATTCTGAAAATAACTGTATTGTCTTTTCAGATCCATTTTGTATGCATTTATATGGGCAGGATTATTATTCTGAGATATTTTTAAGCAAGATAGTGTATGCACTGTTTTACAAAGCACACACTATTGTTCTGTGGTGCATATCACTGAGACATGAAAGCAAAGTCCTGTGCTTGCACTCCTAAAATACTCCTAAATTTATCCATCATTGCATTTTAAAACAATATCACTCATTTTGTCTTTTCCAGGTTCTTTTACAATGTGTGAACTACAGAAATCTTTATATGTACACCTTAAAGCATACAGGATTCACTAGTGAACAAATTGGTGATAGTTGTAGCCTGCATAGTTGGAACTGAGTTATGCTGAGGTTGTTCAATAGCTATTTTTAGGGGTTACAGAAAAAGAGTAGAGAATGAAAGAAATGGAGAAATGGAAAAGGTCCAGAGAGGGGCAACAAGAAAGACCAATAATAGTGCTTTTCTGAACAAGAAATGTTCAGAAAGCTAGAACTTTTCAATCTAGCAAAGAGTCAAAGAGAAGGGGTATGGTAAAGGTCTGGGATAACTGGTATGAAAAAGGTGTCTAAAGAATGGGTGTTCATCAGATTTTCCAGCACGATTGCAGACTCCCTGGGAGTGAAGTCTCTCAGCAGTTTCAAAACAAACATAAGGTCATGTTTCTTCACACAATCTGAACTCAGAATCCAGAAGTTTACCTGGAATCGAGGAGAGACTGGATGACCCTGGCATCCAGAAATTTGTTAAAGGGGACACTGAAGCCACAGATGTCTTTGCAAGCTTTTGAGCCTTGACCAGGTAGTCCTGGAAGAGGAGGTGAAGGTTTCATGGTACTTTAACTGTTATCCCTACATCTGCTTTTGACCTTTGCTGTAAACGGGGTTCTTGGGTAAACAGACTTTGCCGTTGAAGTGGCGTGGCTACTCCGATGCTTCTTACAGAGTTTTGTATTGGTTGCTTACTGTTTGCAGAATTACAAAACTATTTCGGTTTTAATGTTCCATAACGAGCGCATGTCCAAACTTTTTTTTTTTTGAAAGAGAGATTGAACAGAAGGAACAGTTTCAGCAACACTCATTATCCATTGGATCACATTTTTTGGTGAATGCTGAAAATAATGCATTAGGAAGAATGAGGCATAAAGCATGGGACAGAAATGAAAATCCCCCAAACCGCTGTTTTTCAGGGGCTGATAGGTTGTGCTGAGGGATTAATGACCTAGTGTTGGAATAATGTAGTTGGATAAGAGAATAGAGGGGACTTCCATGTCATCCAGAGCAACAGTTCTCAGGACTGGAACTGGCTGGGCAAAGGGGGACATGGAGGGATCAGGGACACAGACGTACTTCCTTCCAGAGCAGGAACCCAGTTCCTTGATCTTTACTAATCGCTGTGTTTAAAGAACCTGCCGAAGTGTGTTACTTTCTCCTGTCCAATGCACATCTGCAATCAAGTGAGTCTTCCACCATAACTATTGTTTATAGGTTGGTTCAAGTTATAGAGACCAGTTTGGTGACAGAAATCTGTTTTCTGTGATAAAAAATGTAATTATTCTTACCTCAGAACTGTCTTTTGAACAGTGAATGGCAAATAAAACATATAGTCAGGTACTAAACAGTGAAGATAGGTAACAGTTTCAAAGAGTTGCTTATTCTGTTACATCCAGTGAAACTGGATTTCTGTAGGAAAGTTTGCATGCTGTAAGATTTTATCATAACACCTTTATAAGATTATAGACAAGCATCTCCAGCATTTCCTCAGCTTAGTGTTTGACTTTATTGTATTTTAGCTTACATTTCTGTGAGTAAAGTATTCTTGGTTCAGCTAATAGCTCAGAATAGATTCTGGAAGATGATACTGTAGTTCCTAAGCATAGGTGATGTACTTTACGCTTGCTGTGACATATACTTTCAGATTTTTGGGGGCATTTATCGTTTCTGATGATTTTCATGCTCGTGGAGTACAGCACCTGTGACCTTGCATGCTGCAGTTGCTGCCTGCTGAAATATATTCAGAGTTTTGCAGTAAAGTATTCTAAAATGGTGAAAATATAAAGCAACCTAGTGGCTGCAACTGAGTTAATAATAAAGGTTAATAAAAGTGTATAAATCAGACCTTCAAATTTAATTACATGTTTATTAAACTTATTTTTAATTAGGACTGCAACACCTGAAGGGGAAGAAGAAGTTTATTCAAGAAGGTTAGCTATGCTAACCAGATACCTCTTGAATTAAATAATTAAAATAATAAATCATTAAAATAATAAAATAATGCAGCAAAGGTGGTGAGTTGTCTAGGTCAAAGCAGCAGTTGATACATAAATTTTAGGAAATTAAACCTAAGGAAAGGTTGGGATATTTTCCATTATCTTTTCTGTTCATCATGATTATCACACATGCCTTTTGTGCATGAGTGCATTCATCTTTAGTTTCCATTGAAATCTTGATTGACTGTGGCACCTACAAATATTTTATCTGAAAGACATTACACTTGCATCTAATAAAGGCAACAGTTTGATTTTGCCCTTCAGCTGTTTCCTCATTTTTGTAGGTTCTTTCAATTTTATGTAGACATAAAGGTAATAAAAATCTCAAGTGAGCTATTACTGCAATTTTTATATCTGTTTTGTTAATCTGTGATACCATGGTATTCTGGAGGATTTTTTGTTTCACAAAATATGTTAGAAAATAAAGCAAAAATAGAAGGAGGGAAGTAAATTAGATATGACAGTTGAAGAATTTTCAGGTTCTTTTAATAGATCCTGTAAATATTTTAGAAAAAGGAAAACATATGTCTATAGTGTTTGTTTATGCTAAAGTGGAAACCAAGGTGATGTTTAAAATAATTAGTGTTTTAAAAAGACTTTATGGTTTATTGTATTAATTTCAGATATAAATTATTATGTGTTATGTATGAAAATAAGCATAGAAGATGTTGAATTGCAGCTTTCGGATAACTTATAAATTCTTCTAATCTTAAAACTACAGTATCTGAAGAACAGAACTTTTCCCCAGCTGATAGTTATTTGAGTTAAGTTAGGGAACTTGCATCCAAGAGATAATAAACTTTGGACTGTAACATATTCATCTGGGCATAATAACACTCATATTTCACAGTAGTTGCCATCTTTCGTGGCTTCAGTATTCTGGGCTTTATATAGTGTATGTACAGATTGTCACTGTTTCTTTGTGAGGACTGTTGCCATGCAAACTCATTCTTCTAATTTTTTTTTATCTGCAATATGGAAATTCAAACCACATTAATTCTAATCATTGCAAATTCATTCAAATATATCAAATTTTTATTCGTAGCTACCAAAGTAAAATATAAAAATAAAATGACTAAAAATTCTGTGCATCTATCTGTGTTGTGAGAGTATTCATCAGTGAATTATGATTAATATTTTGAATGTTTTGAAGTCCGTTAAGTAAAGTTGGATGATTGACACAAGTTAAAATTACATCAAATTCAAGTAACATAATTTGGTTAATTATGTTAATTGAAATTAATTTTAATTACATTGGTTATTTACAGTTTGGGATGTTGTCTTTCAGATATTTTAAGTGTTTTCATTTTGAATGAATATTGAGAAACTATTTAGAAATACAGCACCTTTAATGTAAAATTTCAGGTGAAATGTTCACTGAGTGTGGCAGTGTAGAACAGATAGTAAGCATTGCCTCAGTAGTTCGCTGTTCAGAATCTGAATCCAGAGTTCTCTCAGATGATGGTTTTAATGCACGTTTGTAAAATAATGACTTTAGTATTGGCCAGAATGTGATATCCTTGATCACACAATATACAATACAATATGTATTGTCAATTGCCCTGGTCAAGGCAGTGGATTTACTTGCAAAGTTAAGGAGTACTCCTTGGGGAATGAAAATGTTCCAATTTGTCCATGTATAATCCTAGCTGAACAATTTAATTGAAATAAGTATGAATGTATTCCTAGTAGTTTAGATAAGTGTGTCAATTATCTCAAATGCTAACCAACCAGGTAATGAAACCCGATCTACTTAAATTTGCATGAGTTATGTTTCTGATATGAACATACAGTCACCTGAAACAGAGTTGTGCGTGACATTCAGGAATGCTACTTCCAGGTTGAAAAAATGAGCCTTCCAGGTAGCAGTGCTTGTTGTTCTTTAATGATTTGTATAATGGCTGACCTCAACTTTCTTATTTTAAAATTATCCCATATTGTCTTTAGTTACCCTTGGGGACTCTCACTGCTGCAGTGTACTGTGTGTACGTGAATCTTGTCCTCCTCAGATAGAGCTAGGATC